GGCGGGCGGCCACGGGCGGGATGCGGGACAGCATGGAGGGCAGGCGCGTCACGTCAGCCTTCATGTCACTCAGCAGCTCCTCGAGCTGGTTCAGCACTGCGGGCACAGCGAGCCGGGCTCAGGCCATGGGGACACCCACCAGACACAGACACCTTGTGTCCCAGCAAGCTCCAGCAGCCAGGAGCCGATGGCAAAGAGGGGACAGGAAACAGGGACAACCTCCCAGGCTGGATTTCCCTTCCCACACGCACCCTTGTGCAGGACGGCGTTGGCGGGCTTGTTCCCAGCCAGGGACTCTTTGGAGAGGTGCTGGTGGCTCTCGGCAAGGCACTCCACTTCAGCCAGACGGGCGTTCAGGGCCATGGCCGGGTGACTGGGGTCTTGGGTCATGTTGAGGTACGCTGCCCTCCGCAGCTGCTCCTCGATCACCAGGGCCTGCTCCAGCAACTGGGAGGCAAAAGAGGGAAAGATTCAGGCCCAGACCCTGCTCCAGTGTAAATCAGCGCTGCCCCAAAGGCTCCAGACTGCCTCTGCCCTGATGTGCTCCCCACTGGCCTCGCTCCCAAGAACTCCTGGGGGAACAGGCTTAGCCCTTATGTTTTCTCATCCCATTCAGACAGTGAGCATCCCAGAAAGGGATGTGGGCAGCATTCCCACAGCATCACCCGGGCAGAACACTGGCCCATGCACAGAGAGGAGCCCATGGCAGCCATCCCCAGCCCATGTACTGCAGTGCCCATGAGCTCCCCGGGACCAAACCCGGCTCTGCTCCAGCAACCATGAACCCCTGGCAAAGCCTGGTCCCTGCTCCGTTCCCAGCCGGTGCTGATGGGCTCCCCCTGGCCCTGCAGCACCGCTCTGGTCCCCCCCACTGGTAAGGACTCACCAGCCCTGGACCTGCAACTCACCTTGAACCGCCGGGCAAGGAACTTGTTCTTCATCTCAAGGTAGTTCCCCTTGTGTATCTCCGACTTGAAGGGCTCGTTCAGGATCACGTAGCGTGGGTCATTCTGGATGTCCTGCCAGCGGGCATAGCCATGACTGGTGCCGAGGGAGCGTCAAGGGGAGAACTGACCAGCAGTGAGCATCCCCACCACGTCACCAAACACCTCCCTGCTCATCCCTGCACCCCCCTGGCCTCACCACCTCCCTGCACCCATCAGCAGGAGGCACGGTCCCACCACATCAAAGGGTACGTGACGATTCCTGCCAACAGCCAGTAGTCGTGCCGGCGGTGTGCCAGATGTCATAGATCTTGCCAGAGGAGATGGCAGCTCTCTCCTCGTTCTGCCACAGCGTGTGCAGCTCTGTGGAAGCAGAAGCACGACAGTGGGGTCAAGCAGCGAGGCTGCACCATGCTGCAGGCAGGGAGAGCAATAGCATTGCCCAGGAGGACATCGAGCTGTAAGCCAGCGTCGTCCCACTGCAGCCCCTTCACATGCTTCACGTGCCTTCTGGCTCTTCCAGCCCTCTTGCTCTCACCTGTAAAGCCACCGTCGGCGATGTTGAACATGAATCGGAAGTTCACGTTTCTGTCATCCTTCTTCCCGTCCTCCTCTTCCTCTTTGTCACCATTTTGCTGAGCCTCACCTTGCTCCTTCTCCTCCACCTTGGCGTCCTCTGCTTGGCAAACACAAGAAATGGTGCTGTCTCATCATACTCCACTGGAAAACCGACCAGGGCCCTCCTTTCCCCCAGGAGCTCCTCACTAACACCACTGTTTGAAAAGCCATTTCTTGCCCCAAAGCCTCCTTGCACCTCACCTGCTTTGACTTCTTTGTCCTCCCCTCTCCCTGGGCTGCTGTTCAACTCCGGCTTCTCCAAAGGCTTCTCTTTCTCTTGAATCCCCTCATCTGCAGAAGGGAACAGGACTATGAGAAAAGCTTGACATGGAAAACCCTTCTGGGAACAACTCGCCCTTTTAGGGTAAAGTGATTTTATTGTCTGTGTGTTCAGGATCTTCTCCAGCACAGACCAATGCCACTGATGGGTGCCACAGCTCCACAGAAACCCAGGCCACGGCCAAGAGGGGATTGCTTCATCCCAGCCCCAGAGACTCACCTTTCACCAGGGGCTCAGGAGAAGGCACAGCCCTTTCACTCTCCTCTTGCTTCTCATCCCTCGGTCTCTCCTTGCTGTCGCAGCTTTCTGGGTGCTCTTCACCTTCCACCTTCTCAGCACTCACGGGCACCTTAATGTCAAGTGCCCACCCCAGGTCAGCCCAGCCTTCCCCCTCCTCAGGGAGCTCTCTGACCTTCCCCATAGACCATGATAGGGTCTCCCAGGGTAAACGCTGAAGGAAGCCACCCCACCTGGCTCTCAGACACCTTCCTGCACTTCTGCTCCACTTGCTCCCTTTCCTCCTGGAACACGAGCTGTGTTTCTATTTTGTCTGTAGCAAAGTGAGGAAGATCCTGAATGGGCTGCAGAGGGCTCTGCCTCTTCCACCCCCATTCCCAAGCCAACCCAAAGCCACAACCCCCTGAAAGCCCACAGGAACATCTACCAGTGAGGGAGACAGGTCCTGCGTGCGCTGGGCTGGCCGGGATGGGGGTGTTGGGATCTGAAGACACAATCTCACTGGACTTCTTGCTGTCTGGGCCATCGAGAACCAGATCTGGGGTGCTGTATTTGCCATTGACATGCTCAAACTCCTGGACCTGGGGCAGACACACACCATCGAGTCAAACCCAGCAGGGACATCACCAGCCTGGCTGTTTCACGACTGACGGAGCAGCAGCATCACTACCACCAGGGACACTTCACACCCCAGCTCCAAGACCCAGCAGGTCCCCAGTGTGATTCCTCTGTTTTGCCAGTCAGACCATTAAACACCCACTGATGCTGTGCCCCTCGCAGGGAGGGAAGCAGCAGCTTTGAAATGCAGCTTGCATTCCCATCCCCTGCATGCTGGCAAAGCTGGATGTGCTCCGAGCCTGCAGGCTCAGTACGGGATCCCTGGGGCGCAGCGTGCAGCAGCCCATGAACCCCACAGGTCTCCGGGACATGCCTGAACCAGCACACTTCAAATTCCACTCACCCACCTTCTTCCTTACAAGCGACATGACCCCAATCCGAGTGAGCACGTGCTGGCGTGACAGCCCTTCCCTGGGAACACCATCCGCAAAGGTTTCGGCACCGTCTGCCCCGGGTTCACACAAATGCCTCATGAAGAGGGAGACGTAGGCCCTGTGGAAGGAAAGCCAGACCTGAGCCCAGCCTGGGGATCGCAGCAGAGCTGGTGACACAGCAGGACAACAGGCAGGGCCAGGACAGAGCTCGCCCTGCGTGCCCAGGGTCTCCTGTACCTGAACTCCTTCTCGCTCTTCCCTCGCAGGTCCCGGACCAGCCAGTGGGAGTTGAAGGCATCCTGGGGAGGCATCCCCCAGCGCATGATGGCGTTCAGGAAAGCCTTGCGCTGCCGGGCGTTGAAGCCAAGAACCTGCAGGGGCAGAGGCATCACTGGGATCACAGTGTCTTGGAAGCACATGGCACCTTGGAGCCTCACAGCTGCTATAGGAAGGCTGGATCAGGACTAATGTGCCGGAGGCTCAGCACAGAGTGCTCCAGCCAGTGAGTCCTGGCCAGCCCCATGACTGTGTTGGTTGTGCTCTGATTGAGGCCAACACTCACCTCAATGTTGCCCCCAACTCTTGCCAGCAAAGGAGGGAGAGGCTTGTCCCGGTCACTCTTCAGCTGTCTGCGGGATTGTCTCCTGCCACCTAGAGCCAAGCAGCCCCAGTGATGGACAAGCCCAGGCAGTAAGGAAAGATGGCCAAAAGCTTCCTGCATCCACTCCAATCCCAAAGCTTCCAGTCCCTTCCACCCATCCCACTGGCCTCCAGCCAGGCACCTCCTGTTCTCCCCATCCTTCCACCATGAGGACCAGACTATGGTCCTGCAGCTGCCAGCAAAAGAAACAGCCCATTGCCTTCCCTGCCCTGGGAATCTCCTCACCCGGCAGCACATGAGGACACCTCCCCCTGTATGGAGGCCCAGAAGCACAACATTCCCTCCGACACGGAGTTTCTGCTATACCCGGGCGCCAGCAGCTTCCCGCAAAGCAAAATCCCATGGACTGCCAAACACATTAACTCACTCTGACCTTCTGGCCTGTCTTCGAAGTCTTCATCCTCATCCTCGGAGCCGATGGAATACTCAGACTGGTTGTCAGAGAGCTCATCCTGCCACTCTGCAAACCCCAAGGGAAGACAGGTTAGGAGATGGCCCCAAGCAACCGGTCCCTGCCCCAGAGGGACATCCCTAGGCAAGAGCCTGTCCACCAGTGTGGCTGGCACCCCAGTGCCAGGCAGCGAGAGGGGACACAACAACCAGGCAGTCACATTCCCAGGTTCTCCAAAATCAGTGTTCTCCTATAGAGAAAAGCCCTAATTGGAAATACTTTGTCCCCGGACATGTCTTTCCTAAATTCCTCCAGGAAAAACAGAGTTTAGAGACCAAAACTTAAAAAAATCTTTGAAGAATTTCTATCCTGGAAAGTTTAGGAATCTGGGAAGCACAAATCCATGCACATTACCAAACTGCAGAGAAACAACAACTCAGCCTATATATCCATTAGGCACCCAGAGCCAAGCAGTAGCTGTACCTTGGTCCTCCTGTGAGGTGTCGTTGTAGTTGACCTGCTTGCGGATTCTCTTCCCTTTCCCCAAGTTCCTGGCCAGATCTTCCTGCTGCTGCTCGTAGTGGTGCCGCAGCAGCTTCTCCCAGTAGTCAGGGTCCACATTCTCCTCTTGCTTGATGATCTCACGTTCCACCTCCTCCTGCAAAGCAAGAACCAAGAGGCTTGAGATGGGGCAGCCACAGAGCTGCAGCATTGCCCCACTGCCCCGACCTCTATCAGCAGTCCAGGGAGAGGAAGGGAGAGGCTCTAAGCCCCTGCCTGGAATTTGGCTTTGCCCAAATGTACTGACCTCAGTGCAAGGCTCTCAAAGCGCTGGGGCAAGCTCCCAAAGTGCTCCTCCAAACTCTGCCACCCATCCCGCCCTGCAGTGTTCATGCCCACATCAAGGGAGAAACTACACATCTCCCTGAGCAGCAGCCTGCCACCAGCTCCCACATCAGATGGAGGAAATAAGCCAGGAAAACAACTGACAGCAGCATGGTACATAAGCAGCACCATGGCTGTTCCCAGCCTTCAGGGATGGGCAGAAGGTGCTTGAGGATGCTTTGACCGAAATGAGGTCCTGTGCCAACAGGGAGGGAGCCTGGCTCGCACCATGGGCTGCACAAGACCAAGACAACTGTGCTTCCTCACTGCAGCAGCCCCATCAGCCCCAGGACCCCAGGTCTGGAACAAGCAACAGCAGTCACAGGCAGAGCAGGAGGAGCCCTGCCCTGCACTGGAACGCTCACAAGAGGGGAAAGGGAACAGAACACAGAGGGATGTACAAAGAGGTGCGATTGTAAGACATGATACTAGTCACATTACCACACCGTCCTCTTCTCTCACAACATACTGGGCCACTTTAAAGGAGCTGAGATACTCGTTCATGTTCTGCAGCTCCGTGTCATCAGTTGCATCCTGGTTTCGGTCCAGCAGCTTCGAGATGGCAGCATCGTCGTAGTGGATCACGCTGCTGTCATCCACGTCCTTATTGTCACCTGAAGAACAAAGCGAGGACAATGGAAGCACAGATCACCACGTGGAGACAGCTCAGGTACAGGCCAGGGAGGAAACGAGTCACCCAAACCTGGGGGCCTACACACCTGGTGGGGTGCCACCGTGCTTCTTCTTCATGCCGGGAGTCACTGCACCCCCTTTGGTTGACAGCGTGTCAGAGAAAGGGGGGACAGCGTCTGGCATGGCGATGCGCTGTCCCTGCGACACCATGCCTGTGGGGAAAGAGAGTGAGCCCAGGCCCTGCCGCCTGCAAGGCATCCCCACTCCTTCCCGACCTCACCTTCCACGTCATCTTTGAAGAGCTCTTCTGTGCCGAACTTGAGGATGTCATCCAGCTCCTGCTTGGTCATGGAGCCCGACTTGGAGCCGAGCCCCGGGCGGACGACCAGGTGGGTGAGCATCATCTTCCTCTTGGCCACCTGCGTGATGCGCTCCTCAACGGAGGCTCTGGTCACGAAGCGGTAGATCATCACCTTCTTGTTCTGCCCGATGCGGTGAGCGCGGCTGAACGCCTGCGGGCAGAGCATGGAGCTGCTGAGGGGCCACGGGTCTCACCCCGCTGCGCTGCACAGGAGCACAGGGCAGGGATACACATTGCTCTCTGCTTTTCCATGACTTCTGGAGGCATTTGGCTGCTCGCCTGCTCCTGCTGGCATTCACTTCTTAGCCAGGGTCTGCCCCAGGCTTTGGGAAACACAAGTGAAAGCTCCCCAAATGAGATGGGGGCACCTGGCTGGGAACAAGCAGCTGGAGAAAGCGAGAAGCCCTCGGAAGAGGGCTGGGTTTATGTGCCAGGTATCTCCCAGGCCATGGCAAGGGCAGTGGCTGCAGGACTGGGGCTGCTGAGCAGAAACATGCTCCCCATATAGAGCTCTCAAGGGAAGAGACCGACTGCCCTGCAAACAAAGCCGAGCCCCAGGGGTACTTACTACATGGGAAGGAAAAGGAAAAGTCAAAAACCTGGATGTCATTGTGGGGATTCCAGTCAGAATCATAAATAATGACTGTGTCGGCCGTAGCAAGGTTTATGCCCAGACCACCGGCGCGGGTAGAGAGGAGAAAGCAGAACTGCTGAGCACCAGGAGCTGAAAAAGACAAACCCATACGTGGCAAAGGGTGAGACAGAAAGAAGCGTGGTGTGTGTGGCGAGGTGCAGAACTGTGCTTTGGGGATGGAACCATTGGTCAGGGAAGGCAAGGAGTGACCCTGCAGCTTCCCACATGCTGTGAACCCACCCCACGTACTCCCCTCGGACAGGCAGAAGCACAAGTACCATTAAACCTGTCTATGGCCTCCTGGCGCAGGCCGCCGGTGATGCCCCCATCTATCCGCTCGTACTTGTAGCCTTCGTACTCCAGGAAATCCTCCAGCAGGTCCAGCATCTTCGTCATCTGCAGGGCAAGGAGACCCTGACATGAGCATTTCCACATGGCCTGGCTCCCTGCCACCCACTGCAGCCCAGAGGCCAAGGTGATGGTGGCACCACCAACAGCAGAGTATGGCCAACAGGCAACTGCTCAAGGGGCAACACTCGTGTCTCATACTCTACAGGCAGCTTTGCCAGCATGAGGGGACTGCGTTTGAACTGCCCTCCCCATAGACAGCACTCTTATCTCCTCTTGATCCATAGGTGACAGTGGTTTGAAACATCACTGTTGCCACCACCTCTTCCCCCCATCTCTATCTGCTCCAAATTCTTACAGAGAACAAGAAAAACCCTTTAAAAATGTCTTACTCTTTCTCTACACTCACCTGGGAGAAGATCAGGACTCTGTGACCCCCATCCCGTAACTTCTTCAGCATCTTCTGGAGCAGCATCAGTTTGCCAGAAGATTTGACCAAAGAATTCCCATCATAGGATCCATTGGGTAGAACTGGAGCTTCCTAAAAGGCATCCTGGTCAGCTTCTCCAAGGACAACACTCAGAGAAATTCATGTACACTCCAAAGACAAAATCCGGGGCTTGAAAACCCACACCATTAACCAAAGCAAGATCACGGACACAGCCCCCAACACACAGTGCTCAGAACCACCTTCACAGTACACACACAGAGCTGACGTACCACCGCTGCCACAGGGAAGAGGTAGGGGTGATTACAGCACTTCTTCAGGTCCATCATGATGTTGAGCAGCGAGACCTGGTTCCCACCACCTTTCGAATTCAGGGCTTCGAAATTCCTCGTCAGTATGAACTTGTAGTACTTCCTGCAGGAACAGGGAGGGGAGGGACAGCCCTGAAACTCAGCCAGGCCTGGGACTGGCATAAGCAGGGCAGCATCAAGTTAAAATACGCTAGAGCAGGTTGCTCCAAGCCCCTGTGTCCAACCTGCCCTTGAACACTGCCAGGGATGGGGCAGCCACAGCTTCTCTGGGCACCCTGTGCCAGTGCCTCAGCACCCTCC